GATCCTTGAAGTGCTGTTCCAGCACAAACAAGGGGGGATGCTGGTGCTTGACTGGGCAGATGAGCTCACTGAAGGCAGAAGGATACTTGTGCAAACAGGACAGGCTTCTCAGCTGCAGTGGGGTGGGTTATCCAGGCGGCAGCCTCACCATAGCACCAGTGTAGGCACAGTTGAGTTGACCAAGTGCAGAAGTGGGGCAGCTATGTTAACAGGCAGTGTGGGCAGCCATGAGGTGCTGTGCTTCTCGCTTTGGAACTCAGTACCCCACTGTAAAAAGTCACTGCTCTTACTGTATCATCTTATGTCTAAAGCTTTAGTGTTTCAGAACAAACAAACCAAAAAAGCCACAGGTAAAGCTATTTAAATCTCAGAGCTGAAACTTTCTCTTTATTGAGCAGTGCTGAACATATAGCTGAATAACATATTTTTTTCATTGATCTGACAGTACAGTTTTTCCTTTGTCAAAGTTGTTTTGTCAAATACTATGTCTGAAATTGTTAGTGACCTTTCTGCTTGAAAAATGTCTGCTTTGTGCCAGAGCAGAGTATTTGTCAGGTTTTTGAAAACACCTCTCTCAAGCACGACTTTTACTTGGTCACTTGTGGGCAGTTGCAGTGTAATGCCATATATATATTGCAGTCTCATGCATTACAGCAGAACCAAAGCACTTGGTCTCCAGGCTGCAGTTAGGTTTTGAGAAGCAGATTCCTGCAGCTGAATGGGCCAGATCCCAAAATCGGAGCCCTATACGGTAGTGGTTTTGCAGAAATCAGTGCTGTGCAGTGAAAGGTCCAATAAATATAATTCATTTAATGGCTAATATTTAACCTAAATTCTTGTCTAGAAGAATGTGATGACCTGCATACAAGTCCCTTGGGGAATTATCAGAAAGGGAGGAAGGTTGTATTAGCACATGTGGGATGGTTATCTAAGGACATGCAGATCCGAGTTTTAAAGGTCTGTAGCAGTGAACAGAAAGTATTGAAATATTCATAAATAAGCATGGAGGAATACGTGAGTCACGTGCATGACACACTGAAGGTTGCAGTCTGCTAGAAAATATTGTTGCTCGCTGGCATGTGGATAAATTGCATACTTAATTTTATGCACTTCATCCATATCCTCACCTCTGTTTTGCTCATCCCAAACCTCCATATTTGCTACTTGCCCTAGCTTTTACCTATCTTCTGTTATTTCTAAAATTATTTTTAAGGAAAGCTGCTTGTTCGGTTTAACAAAATCATTGATACAACACTCAATCTTCATTTGTAGTAGCCTCAGCAAGTGTATAATGTACTACTGTTAGCATTAGAGAGGAAAACTAAGTTCAGAAGAATCGAAATAGCATGATCAAAAAGCAGAAGAGTTAAAAATACAGTAACAAATAAACCATAAAATCTTCCTGTCAAAAATTGCCCGAAATGCATTACGCTACCTTTTTTCAGCTATAAAAGCAACATTACTCGTACAGGTTTAAAAAAAAAAAAAAAAGTCTGAATATGACTAATAAGACTTTACTGTGAATGTTTTTGCAGATGCTTTTTATAGTCCTTGTTGAATTGAAGTGAGAGTGATTTAATACAATACAGATAACTGTTTTTCTTCATCTCCTCCCCAGCAAATACTTCCATAAATTTCATGAATTCTGTCTTCCACATGGCCCCGGGAGACTACAAATGTGCAGTTTCCTTATATACAGATTGTAAACAAGAGTGAAAGAGCATTTCAGCCTTGCAGAGTGTGAAATGGCAGAGCCTTCTTCCAGGGGGCCTCTTTCTGGGGTATTTGAGAAGTAATAAAAAATTTCGGCATGACAGGATTTGAGAATAAGTGCTAGTATAGCTTGTTGAGGAAATATACTGGACAATTGTTATCTCTGCAATCTTAACAGATCACAGTAACAGAAGGAGAAAGTGCCATAAAGCCATGGCCTCATGGTCAGCCATTAGCAGAGAAGCGAGCTGGCGCTGGGCTGGCTGGTGCTTGGAAGTCTGTCTTGTGTGTCTGGGGGGAAGCATCTGACCTTGACCTCCTCGCTGCTGTTCTGTGGAAATGGTGACAGGGCCCTGCTGCACCTTAAAGGCATGTTTCGGGGATTAGTAAGTTAATGCTTGTGAAGCACTTAGATTTACTGTAATTATCTGCCCAGAGAAAATCTTGTCAGATAAATAATAATTGTCATCTCAACAGAGTATAAGTAGCATGCAAAAAAGGCACCAGGTCCATGTGCTGACCCATGAGAAGAAGAAAAATTACTGAATTTCTTTGCTAGTGAGAACTAGCCACTGTGTGCTAATGAGGTATGGGCACAAGACTACTGTGGTACACTTAAAGGTGATTAGCTGTGTGCAAGAGGGGCAAAGAAACACCCTCTGCATGTCTAACTTCCAGCAGTCTGGGCTAGTGGCCACATTCGGGTTCCAGGCTGGTGATGGTGCTCGTTACTTTGTCAGTATGGGTGGCACCCTCATTGCCATTGGAACACATGGTGATGGTGATGATGATAATGGCCATTCCTTGGAGCTGAATCAAATTGAAGTGAGTGGGTTTCAGTCATCTGCTGATGGATGAAGGATGAAAGTGTGGATGTTTTCTCCAAACACTTGCTGTGATTTCCACAAATCCTTGTTTGTCTTTCGGACAGTTACCTCCCATTAGTTTCCCGTGTGGGCTCCCAGTGCTGATGCACCTCCCATATCTCTCTTTCTTTTCTCCCAGTCCCAGTTAGGTTCCTTTCGTCACTCAATTCCCTGTTTCTTCTTTCCTCTTCACCATCTGCTCCCTTCCCTTGCTGCATAGATCTTACCTACAGCAGCCACTAAAGAGAAAAATCTGTTTTTCCCTGCATATCTTCAGGGTAGCAAGAGGTTGTTCAGGTGTTTGGGGGGTGCTGCATGCGTAGTCTGGTCTACACAGAGAGATCCGTGCAACAGATCACTGCATAGTCAGTCCATGTGTATTTTTAGAGGCTTTACTTGTGGAAATCTGGCAAGTCCCAGGTACACATGATCATGACAAAATTACTCTAAGGAAGAGCATGGGTGTCTAAAAACTTGGAAATTAAAGTGTAGTTATGGATGCTCAGCTGTCCAACTGAGAGGCTGTATCAAGTAGAGTCTTAAGGATGTTTTTGGGGCATCTGGTAGCACTCTCTCTTTTAGAGTCAAAACCTGTTGATGAACAGGCAGTCATGAGATCGATGGATTTTACCCAACAGAGTGGGTGTTTTGGAGGACTGAATTAAAATTCAGTGAAGAAATTACATTTGCCATATAGAACTATTTTCTTTTTTGAGAGCAAGTGCTCTGCTAAGGAAAGCAAACTGAAAGGAGCAGTTATGTACAGGGAATAGCCTGGAGTTGTAATAGGAGTCAGCTGCGTGGTAAAGACACCAAATGTCTTTCTGGAATGAGCCAGCACGAGGGTTCACAATACACCTCAACTCATGTTGTGTGCAGCTTTGCGTACTGCTGGTTCAGACAAAAGCTGGGAGATGCTGCCAAGAAATAACAAGAGGGTTAGAAAATATAACCTGTAAGGAAAGTTTGAAGGAACAAAATTTACTCAGTCTAGAAGTGTCAGGACTGACGTAGTCCTGGGACAGGCGTTTGCTGTAAATAGTGATTAATCTGTGTGTCATCTAGAAGAAACAGGCTTTGTCCAGAGTGCATAGGATATTAAATTTGATGCTGTGAAAGCCTTTTTCATGATATATTCTACAAGAGTTTATCTCTTGGGGTTGCAGACGTTTTATGCAGGAGAAGAGGAAAGGGTTTTTTCCTTTGGGAGAAGGAAAGAAATAGAGGGGAGATGACATCCTGGTGTTCCTTCTAGTTTTTGCATGTCTCTGATGCTACTTGAGCATGGATGAACTCCGGTTTTCCAGTTGTTTACAACTTTATCAAATTTGGATGGTTTTTCAGAGGATTACAGAGTTAAAAAATAACACTAAAAGCAGCACATCCTGATGAATTTCCAGTACCTCTTACAAAATATGGAGAACTCTTTAATTAGTGATAAAAACGTTTTTTGTTATCATTTACAAAAACACATTTTATCTTGTCTTATTCTGGGACATAGTTAACCCTCTGTAACCAAACTCCTTCCTTCCACCCCCCAAATTGCTGGTACTTAGCATACAAAGTTTAGGTCAGATGCTTAAAGTTTGGCAAAGTTATAAGCAGCTAAAAGCAAAGTCTAAGGGGAAGTTTCATGTAACATTAATAACAGGCAAAGCTACCAGCCCCACCTATAATAATCTTATTTCTATCAAAGCCAGGTTTCCTTGATGATTCTCAAATGTTTCTACAGGCATTTAGAGAAGATCTGGAATGCCTTATTCAAGAGCAGATGAAGAAGGGCAATAACCCCACTGGACTGCTTGCGTTACAGCAGATTGCTGAATACATTACAGCAAGCTCTTTTGCAGGTTTTTCCTCATCTTCATTGAGTAAGTGAATTACATATATATGTTGAACTTTTTCTCTTCCTTTTTTTATTATCACCAGGGCTTAGCAATGGTGGGATCTCCTCTTTCTTTGAATGAAAGTTCTGTCAGAGCTTGCTTCAGCTGTGTAGTAGTACAGATGGTGGCCTTAACTTTCCTTTTTAGGCTTCTTTCTCTCAAATTCTTTGATTTGTGCAATGATTTCTAAAATGTTTGGAGGCATCACGCTCAGTTACTCTAGAATTTGCTAATAAAAGTTTAACTGGTTTAACTGAGATAGGGAACAAAATGCTGTGCCCCCTTACTATTAGTTGTTTAACATGGGCATAAATGGAGTTGTAAAATACATAACCATTTAGATTGTTTATTTTTGTACTCTTGCATATAAATTGTTATTAAAAAAAAAGGAGGGGGGAGAATTGCCTTGCAGACTGAATCATTACACAAACAGTTCTCACAGTTAAAAACAGGCACTAGGATCTTTCAGTTAACACCCAAGTTCTTCTTTCCAAGTCATGAAGCGTTGAAACGTAAAAGTCAATTGAAGTTCTGTGGGTGGACATCATATGGGAGCTTACAAGCCTGAAGTACAGCAGCAGCTGTCAGCATTCAGCATCTTTTGAGAATTGGTCCCAAAATAGCTCTTCAGTGTTCGTTTAGCAAAACAAGTGGAAGAGAACAACAGAGCCCAAATAATCTCACCTCCACATCTCTGGTTGGTTAGCAAGACCCTGGGTCTGATGGCTGTGTCTGCTGCGTTTGCCCAGGGACTCAGACAGGGTGATGAATCTTAAAGCGCATGCTCTTTTTGTTGAAAACCAAAATGTCTTTTACCTCTTCTGGGTGTATCTCCCTGAAAACAAAGGCTGTAGCTCTCAAACAGTTACCATGCATTTGTGAAGGGGAGAAAGTGTGTTTGTGTAGTCACAAGTCGAAGAGATAAATTGATCTTTGTGATTTCTCTGTTAAGAGGTGATCTGTCTGAGGGTTTGAGAACTCTTGCACTAATCCTGATTTCTTCATTAGGACTAAATTAAAGCACCGAGACTGAGATGTCTCTTCAAATTAGTTATACCAGTGTCAAAAGTGCAACAAGAATGTGTTCTCCTGTATTTTTCCAAGTAAGATGTGAAAACACTTCATTAGTGCCAAATGTGTTAAAGCACAGTTTCAGTACTACATAGGATCTTAAATCAGGATAGAGTTCAAAATCTGAGTGGTACTTCAAAGGAAATCTGTTTCATCTCTCTTGTGTTTGAAAAAGAGATGAAGACTTAATCTCAGGGTGTGGTTGCTACAGTCTTAAAGTAACAGAGGTTTCAGTAAAGACCTTAGAAATCCCAGCAGGGTGGCTCGAGTCTAATAATTGCTGGTACTACTGTGCTAACAATTTAAATACACTGCTTCTGGAAGATCATGGCGTAGCTTGAAGTTGTTTGTCTGTCCGGCCATCATCTTTTCTCATCTGTTTTTTAGGCCATGGAATGATTACACCTATCAATGATCTACCTGGGATAGATACCTCCTCATTTGTTAAGGGAGAAAAACTTACACGTTGCAAGTTAGCCAGTTTATATAGATTGGCTGACCTCTTCGGGTGGGCACATTTGCCAAATGCATATATCACAGTAAGTATTTTTGACAATAAAAACTTTTATTTGGAATCTTACCTATTCATTCAAATTAATTTTCCCCCCGAATAATACAAATTCAAAACCAGATCAGTAATCCATTTTGTTCCTCCTTTGCAGGTAAGAGTAAGCAAAGAACACGACCATATTCTAATCATTCCAAGAGGTCTGTCCTTTTCTGAAGCTTCAGCTTCTAATTTGGTACGTGATTCACCTGCTGTAATAACCACCAAGGCTCAACCTGGTTTCTAAAAGACTTTTATGGCTGCTAAGTTGGACTTTTAATCTATAACCATGCTGTTGTTTGTTTTTTAATGTTTACCTACTAGATGAAAAGCTGATGAACTGTTTAGATACTAGCATCCTTTGTCCTCAGCATTTCTTTATGGGTTTAGCTTTGCTTTCCGTTGCTTTGTCTTCAGCTTCAATACGGACCAGCAAAGTTTTGACTCCATCTGATGAAGCTCATCAAATAGCCTCAGTGTAGCAGCAACCTTTTATAACCTGACAATATGGTATAATATATGAAATGACTCTGTAGGAGTAGTGTTAGTAGAATCAGCTCTGATCATTGCAAGTGGGGAAATAAAGCTGAATAATCTTCCCCAGGCCCAGCAAGGGAGCTGGGTGAAGTTACAGGCTGGCATTCAGGCAATGGTAGCTGCTAAATCACGCATCTTTTGGTGCAGAACTTGCCATATGTTCTTCGTGTCAGTACATCTCCATAAAGAAACTACCTCTAGTTGGAAGGGGTAACAGATTGAGAGCATTGCACCAGCAAACACAGAACCAAAATACAAACATGAGAACAAGACCTCATATGACCCTGCTGTTGTTTTAAGTTGATCCTGGAATTATTATTTTAATGTTCCCATAAAAATGAAAATTCCCTATGTATTTAATTTTCTTTTTGGAAATTTCTCAGAGGATGAATTTTCTTCATATTTAAAATGTAGGAAGTGTTAACAAAGTTCATTTCTGAAAGTCAGAAACAAGGAAAGGTCAGCTAGACCAAAGAGGAATATACATTGTATCAGGGTCTGATCTTACTTCTTCCATGGCTGGACTTGCAACAACTGTCAAGGGCTTGGACAGCAGGATGGTTTATGGACACACAGATTCATGGCTGCGCTCCTACTGTTTTTTCATGCTCTGAGCCCTAAACATGAGGGGGGGAAATTTGGTACCAAGTAGGAAATGGAGGGTAGTTTTTAGATAATGGCAGTTGTCACAAGCTTTTTGAATATTGTTCGTTTGTTTGACTTTTCCAGGTTAAGGTGAACATCCTAGGAGATGTAGTTGACCAGGGAAGTACGACTCTAAGTATTGACAATGCAGGATTCAGTCCACATGTGGCCATCTACTCCACACGCCCTGATGTCAGATGTGTAATACACATACATACGCCTGCAACAGCAGCTGTAAGTCTTCCTTCTAGCATAAAGAGTAGAAGAAAGCAGGTTTACCTTATGAACTTGGATCACCTTTCTGAATCTGAATCACTGCTCACGGCAGTTTTATTTTTGTTTTTAACATCAACTCTACACTGGTAATGAAAGGTGTGAGGTTATCGAGTAAGCAGACGGAGAGGGCTGGGCCACCGCAGTGAAATGGATAGGAATAAACTGATGCTCAGATACGATTGAGGAGGCTATAGTAGAGTATATAGTTTACATAGCCTTTATTTAAAGCATTTTAGACCAGAAGACATGCTATATACATCATCATTTGCATTATGCAACTCTATTTTTAAGTGGCTTAATTAGTAGTTAGGTTCAGTTAGGATTTACCTCACTATCAAAAAGTCATAGTTAACATATAAGTTAAAAATGGTCTGTATAACAGTGATAAAAATGTAGAGAGACTTGAAAGAATTGGCTTGAGATAAACAGATAAATTCATATTTTATATATAAATGCATATATATGCATTGCTTGACTACAGACAAAAAAAATGGAAGGGGTAACTTTTATATTAGCTTTTTGAAGTTATAAGTGTGGGAAAGAAGGAAAAACCATGGAGTAAGCTTATGCTGAGAATTGAACATGGATAAAATTGACAAAAGTTAACTTAGTTGGGATAATTTGTCTGTTCCTATGATGCATCTGTCCCTAGGCTGGGTAGCAGCAGCTCTGTCTCCCTATTGCAAATTAAACTGGGGGGGGAGAAGGTGTTGTTTCCACGCTTTCACTGTGGAGAGTTTGCTTCCCTTCTAGCAAAGGTACAACATATATCCTGCTACAGCTTGGGTGGTTGAGATGTGGGCTTTTAGACTTTTTTTTTTTCTTTCCTAATTATCAGTGCTTCATTTTGCTGAAACAGGTTTCATCTATGAAGTGTGGCATCCTTCCCATATCACAAGAGGCTCTGATTCTGGGAGATGTTGCTTATTACAACTACCAGGGATCTCTTGACGAACAGGAGGAGAGAGTTCAGCTTCAGAAAGTTCTTGGACCCAGTTGCAAGGTATTCAACCTCATGCATGCTCATAATAAACAATTTTCATGTACTGTGCCAGTTTCTACCATTTAACATTAGTGTCTTCATTTACTAGGTATTAGTCTTGAGAAACCATGGTGTAGTAGCACTAGGAGAGACACTGGAAGAAGCATTCCACTATATTTTCAATGTGCAACTGGCCTGTGAAACACAGGTGAGAGAGAATTTATCTGTATTTCATTTCAAACACTTATACTGCTGAGTTTTAGATTATATCGCAGATGGGAAGGCCTCTAATATTACAAAATACTTGGGGCTGTGGAATCCAGTAATCATATGCCAGGTCAAAGTCAGAGAAGTTGGAATAATCAGGAAAACATAGAAGGAAGAGCATAAATACTGTATCGCTCTTCCTAGAATGAGTATCAGTGTTGTTAGACTCTGAAGAGTACAGGTTTTGTTCCATGCTGTGGAGGGTGAGCCTGATGCAGGGAATCTGTCAGATAATAGCTTCAGTGGTACTTGCTGCATGTGGAAGTGGGACTTAAGATCTCTCGACATCCAGCTCGTTTATCAAAGATGAATGGTGTGACAAGGAAAGAAGCTTCTCCCTATGATCACAAAGATTTGTAAAACCAAATAAACGAAGGTCTTTGGAGCAATGGTAGAGGGTAGCATATTTAAAAATAACTTGAGTCCCAAAATCAGTTGTTACCATTTTGTTTAACGCTACCTAGTGGGTTATCTAGGTATTCTCTATAACCTGTGGGGAGAGACCACTGGAAGTGTCCTTACTTTCCATAACTCTTAAGACCATCCCCAGAAACTTTTATCGCTTTGCTCTTACTTGTTCCCCAGTGATCCTGTCCTCCCAAGTAGGCATTTGGAGGTGCAAATGGCAGTCTCCCACTCCTTTGCTTTCCTCCCTTGCCTTGCTATTCATTTTGAGTTTGATCACCCATTCGTTTTGAAACAGATATAAAAATAAAAAATTTTTAGTCTTGTGGTGCAGGAAGACCTTTTTAAGGTACTCTGAAAGCCAGTGTTGGAGTCTGTTCCTTTTAAAGTGCAATTCTTGGCAGGTATTATTATCCTTTCCATAAGAATCACTTGCTATATATTTTAATACATTTTTGCACAGTGGAAAACTAGCCTGAGGAAGAACTGTGGCATGTGTTTAAGTATGTTTCTCCTGTGAATTCAGAAAAGCAGGGAATCTGAAAGCTGTTCCACAAATGAAATACATTTATCGATGTGTCTAGGTTCATGCATTAGCTGGAGCAGGTGGGATAGACAATCTCCTACTACTGGATCTGCAGAAGTTCAAACCTTCTACACATGCTGTGGCAGCAGCTGGAGGAGGTGGAGTTAATACGGCTTCCCAGCAAAAGTGGAAAGTTGGGGAGCAAGAATTTGAAGCGCTTATGCGGATGCTGGACAACCTGGTGAGAGCACGTTGATGGCTTTGTCCATACAGTCTCTGTAAGCTGCTGAGAGTGTAGGATTAGCTTCTGTAAAGCAAACGATTTTTTCTGGTTTCTTTGTGCACTTGAAAATGAAGACAGAGTAACTTTTATTGTATATGAAACCTCTTTTGTTTGGTTTAGTTTTTATTATGTTAGTGTACCTGACAGTACTATTCTGTCTTGGTAAGATTTTATAATGTTTTGAACTTAAATTTTGTTCAGCCCATCTCACAAACGTATTTGCTCTTTATAGTAGTTTAATAGTAAAAATGTGTTTTAATTGCCACCTAGTAAATAGACATAGCAGATTCCTCTCTGTATTTTGTTATTAACTCTAATGTTGGGAAATAAGATGATAATTTATTATTTGTTTGAAATGTCCACTTCACTGCACTATGAATTCTGGAACAGCTTTCAATACAAATAGAGTGAGGAATGGGGGAGTGTCATAAACTAGGATGTGCCATTGTGCAAGATGGATAAATGCCCTTATGAATGCTACCTAGGTCGTAAACTGAGCAGGGGTCATTAGGTGGTCATGCATTTACAAAGGTGGGAGGGAGGTGAGGTGTGGGTGAGGTCCTGTCTAGCTGCTACTGTATGGTGTTTTAAATGAGTCTCTTGAATGTTAATAGTATGAATGAATGATTGATGACACCACTAGGCTGTTCTCTGAAGAGATCAGTAAACCTGTTTGATGCATATAGGGCAGTGCAAAACTTCTGTAACTTCTTTGGATACCTTTTTCTGTTTGTTTTTTTTTTTTAAACATTTTTTTTTTCTTCTTTTTCTTTCTCCCCAGGGATACAGAACTGGCTATGCCTATAGGCAGGCATTAGTTTCGCATTTTCCTTTGAAGATGATACAGTCCCGCTTTCCCCCCTGAAATTCCTGGCGCAAAGGCAACAGAGAGAAAAGACAAGATGGCTGAACTCTCCAAACACATACTTGAAAGTCAATGTGCCTGAGGAGTCCTGGAATGGGGAAACCAGTCCAAGGACTAAGATCACGGTAGGTAGATTTAGGTACTTAAGGCAGTTGCTTAGTTTTTCCACTACTTGAGAGAAAGTAAATTACACACGGTTTGTATGAGGAAATCTTTAGCAGCATTAGCAAATAGGTTTATCAAGCAAGTAAAAATAGGCTTTGTGGAGACTTAATGACTTATTAATACTAAGGGCTCCCTCTGTTTGGGGAAGAGGGGTTTAACTGTTGGGAAGAGTAACAGTTTATGATAAAATTTAACAGTTATCTCTCTTTTGTTACTAGCTCTTCCAGTTCCTGGAGTAGAAAAAAGTTTTTTCTACTATATCTTTTTGTGCTATTAATTGTCCTCCAAACATAGTAAAGTTTTAAGTCACCCGTGGGTGGTTGTTCTTTTCTCTGCGTGAGGGAGACACAAGCTCTAATTCATCTTGAACTGCCTCTTTTCTGTTTGTGAGCCTACTGAAAACAGACTTCGAGGAGTCTGCTTATGCTTCTACTGTTAATGATCGAGATCCTTCCTCCTCCTTCGGCTCACCGAGATCCTTCCACTGTGTTTCAGCAGCCTGGAGAGAGGTGCCTCTCGTGGGACTACAAAGCATGTTATTTGCTATCAGACTACTCCCAGTTCCATAGTACAACTGTAAACGCATCAGCTCCTCCTGCTGGCAGGCTACCGAGTTTCTGAAGTTTGGGAGGAACACCCTCGGCAACCGTTTTAAAACCCTGCTTAGAAAGGAAAAAACCTACAGACAAAGATGTGGGGTTAGCCGAGGCGGAAGTTGATTGCATGAACAAGGGCTCTGGAGCTGGTGGATCAATATGCCAGTTACTAGGAAGCATGACCCTTTCTAAATATGACTTCATTAGTCCACACTACTGCATTTTTCAGGAATGTATTTCAGTGTTTACAAAAAGTAGTCTTTATGATATGTGTTCAAGGCAATTCAGATCCTCGTGGGCAAACATGAAAACTTGGAAGGTGTTGAGATTATTTTGTGGGGGTCGTGCAATTGAGAATAAAGTGAGAAAGTCCTTCCTTTATATCTCTTCCTTAGCAGTAAGACAGCACTGAGAATTGTTCCTCCCCATCATGCTGGGGTTTTTAGCTTCCTTTTTTTTTTTTCTTGAAGTGGATGAAAGCTGATGACTCCTCCAAGACTAGTGGAGGAACACCGATCAAAATTGAAGATCCAAACCAATTTGTTCCTCTAAACACAAACCCAAGTGAAGTGTTGGAAAAGAGAAATAAGGTAAAAGAAGTGTAACCATGAAAACTTTAACATTTCCAAATAAAATTATCTGTTCAAGTAATGATTCAACACAGCAATAAAATAGCATTTTCAAGTGTTCTGATTTTACTAAGAAGTTTCTTAAATTGTGTGTAACTTTTGTCACTAAAAAGCGTGTATTTAAATGTATGATATACATGAAGTCTGTAGATACATATGCAATGTATATAAATTTTGAATGCGATAGTTTGATGAAGAATGAGTATTGACTCTGGAAATAACAGATTGGAAATGGTAGTCCCTGCTATTTAGCATTATAGTTAGTGGATAATTAGGCATCAACATGAACCGAATTGCTGTGCGTCATCTACAGCATGATTCTGTCTCAGAGTGTAATCTCACTCTGTTCTGTGTTAAGTCTCCTAGCATTCTTAAGCTGGAGTTTCTGTGGTCCAGTCTGCTTCCTAATGACAATTAAAAAAAAAAAAAGAAAAGGAGATATTACTGTTGGACCTCTCTGTAAACACAAATATCTCACTGCTTTTCCCTTCCAACACATTAGACACCCACTGTCAGACTGACCAAATACTCCACCCTAGGCATAACTGTATTAACAGATATTCAGGACACTTTCCATTTGAGTACGTATTTTTTTCTTTCTTGGAAAGCACCGCAGCAGTATCCATGGGGACTGAACTGGAGTCAGAAGGAGCAACTCCCTTCCTTAGAACTGGAAAGGCACTCACTAATCATCTAGAGATTAATAACACAAATCCCAGACAATTATTTTTAAATTCATGCAAGTCATTCTCATTAAATAATTTAGTCCTATTTTTCTGCCTTTAAGTTTTTTTTAATATGATCTGTATTTGCGTTTACTTTTATATCTGATCTGTCAATCGCTTCAGCACTGCCAATGTGGAGCTAGGGCTGTTGGCTTGGGGGAAATGATGAGATGTTCACAGAAGCAAAAAGTTTAACAACAGTTGTGATCACAGAGATCCTTCCAATAGCTTAACACAAGTCATTTATTTTGGGGGGATGGAGAGGGCAGGTTCAGAGACATGCTGTTCCTTGGAGCTTATTTCTAAATACTGGCTTGTATGAAGTGCAGGAGCTGGGACTAGAGTGGATATTTGGGAGTACTTGGAGGGCTAAACAACCCATGCAGTGCATTCAGAGGTGGAAGGAGAGATCTTAATTTTTAGGTGCAGCAGCGTACAGCTTGGTCCTTCAGCCTTTCACTGTTGCCTGTGTGACTGGCTTTGCAAAGCTGGTAGGCATAGGATTTGTTAAAGAGAAGTATCTGTTTCTAACCCAGTTTATTTTCTCTGTGTAGATAAGGGAGCAAAACCGGTATGACCTAAAGACAGCAGGACCACAGTCTCAGCTGCTCGCTGGGATTGTTGTGGATAAAAAACCGAGTCCAGTGAGTAGGACATAATTAATAATTGATTTACAAATAGTTGAGTAATTTGGCTGCCTGTCCTTCAAACATCAGTTTGGGCCATTTTCTTTCTAAATGCTTTGTTTGAACTGATTATTTTAATGCCAGATTTTGGATGTGTGATATATTTTATTCATGTTTCATTTCAGAGGTTTAAAATGTTAGTTTCAAATGGAGATATGAATGGTAAGTTTGCCTGCCATTAAAATTAATGAAGTAGGACCCCTGTCTAAGACCATTTAAGCTAAAGAGTGATGAACTTTGCAATGCAAGGTGCCAAAAATAATCTTTTCATCACTCTGTGGAACCGCTGCTGAAGGAAATTATTAAGGCCCAGAAATAACCAAGTTTAAAAGGTGGGATGGGACCATGTAGAAGGTAGCTCTCATTAGAAACAGGCTTCTTACTGGGAGGCAGGTTTTCCAGTTTCTTACCTATCTGCATTAATCTTTTCTTGGACAGAATACAGTTACTTCCAAACAGTACAGATATCCCTGACAAGTTTAGATAGCAAACTGTGGTGAATTGTAATTGGAATCCTATAATTCTAACAGTTTCCAACTATCCATGCATTAGTACATCTATTTCCTCATTTTGGTTTCCAATATTCTTTTCAGATAACACTGAGTTTGCTTATTTATATCAGGCGAAAAAGAATATGTTCCAAATGAGTTTTCTTGCAACATGAGAATAACTTTAATTTTGTCATTCTAAGATTCATCTCAGAACAGCTCTTCCAGTTAGACTCCTAAACTGGAGCAGGAGCACAGTTACTTTCCTACAAAAAAATTCCTATAATTTGAGGTGTTTGCAGAAAATACAGAAAATCTTATTTATGAATCCCTGTTGTTAAAAGACGTGCACTTCTCTGTATGTTAGTCCCTGAAGTGTAAGATGCTAAGGCAGGTTTCTATTCTGAAGCTGTCCCCCTCGATGCAAAAAGAAACCCCACCTCAAATAATGATTGTGCTGCTGCGAAAGGATGGTGATTTACAGCTCGGTAGTCAGTATTCATTACTATGTGAATGCCTATTAAATGGGGTAATTTTGGTCTGGGTGCATCTGTGTTTTTCTTCTGTATTCCCTGCCAATCTGGAGTCGCTAAACTTTGGGCAAAATACAGACATTAACTTTGTACATCTTGCTTGCTTCTTTTTTTAACTGTTAAATTTTGTGGTTTTCTCTTTTCCAGCCAATGCAGTTTGAAGATGATGAGCACACACCACCAGCACCACCCAACCCATTCAGTCATCTCACAGAAAAAGAACTGGAAGAGTACAAGAAAACAATTGAGCGCAAGCAGCAGGGGTTGGAAGGTCAGTGGTGTGTTTTTCAATGTTGAAGTTTACATTTTAATAATGAGTTCATTTTTAGTTTTAAAATATCTACTCTAAAAATTGTATGCATGTTAATTATTAGCATATATTGTTGGCAGCTACTTTAGAACTAATCTTTCCTTGAGACTGTAGAATTTCTTCTTAGGTGTGTTTTCTTGTTTGTTTTCACTTTTGTTAGTGCTAAAATTAAGGCAATGAAAGGTTTGCGCAGAAATGGGGTTGACAAAAACACACTTCAACATAATGGCTTTTTTTTGTCAGAACCGTAGAATAACTTAGGTTGGAAGAGCCCTTGAAGGTCAGCTTAGTCCAGCCTCCTCCTCAAACTTGATACCAGAGTAGATGAAGTTGCTCAGGTCTGTGCCAAGCTGAGCAAAAGCTGACTGAGATGTTTGGTCTTGGCTTCTTTAGTTTTTCTTCTAGTCTCCCAATGTGCAAGACTCATCTACTTTCACGTTTTACATCATCTTCCAATAATATTATTCCATAGGGAATTACTAATTCAGGGTTGATTTTTTTTTTTTTTAACAATAGCACTTACTATGCATTCTTCTTCACTAATATTGTGTAATAAACCAATTTTGCTATATATCACATTCAGGGCATAGCATAATAGCTTACTAAAACAGTGAACTGTGTGACTTATGGCTAGGTAAAACCATGGGACGTGCTACTTGGAATGCAACCCTGCCATGCTTTTTAATGCTTTGTATTAAAGAACTAATATATAATGATTGTTAGCAGATAAAACATGTAAATCCATAATTCTGTAGAGTTTAAACTGCGTATTGTAACTTTTTGATGTTGTCAGCATGAGCAACGCAATGCTAGCAGAGCTGTAAATCTTGTGGCACTTGCACTGACATTCTTGCTTGATTTCTTTACTTTTGCATGGCTACTAATTCGAATCTTGTCCTGCAGATGCTGAACAGGAATTATTCTCAGATGACGGTTCATCCGTGTCACAAATTCAGTCACAAACTCAGTCCCCGCAAAATGTCCCAGAAAAATTAGAAGGTATTCCGTGCGGTTTCTGTACAATGCCAATGGCTCCGATAGCCTGAGTCATCCACTCTGCTGCTGCGTTCTTTACACTCACATGAAGTCAGCTGAACCAAAAAGAGCCCTCTTTTACCAAGTCTGGATGGGAGTCTGTCCAGAAAACTGTTTTTCCCAATTTTTTCTACTATGTAATTCTCACAAACAGAAAACAACCCAGGGCATACTGAAACTTAGATATTAATGAGGTGGAGGAAATAGGTATTGTATTTGGATTTTATTGAAAGTGTTAAGAATAGATTTTTTGCCTAAGACTTTTCCAGCGAAGTCTAAGAAGGCATTTGGAAAGGGTAGTTCACGAAAGACTTCTGTATGAAATGGCTGCATTTTTAGTCTCTTGCAGTAAAGTGTAATTCTGAGTGTGCTTGAGACTGCGTATGTATGTGCTGTGTAGACTGTACTTGTATATACTGTATACAGCTTGAGCTGTATATGTACCTGGCAGAGATAAAGTTAGCTTTTTCAGCTCATTTTGATTTAGCGTATCACAGTATTTGGCTGTTTACAACAAGTAAGAGTGCAGATAAAGGAGTTAAAAAAACACATCTCAGCACTTCTGGTTTCATTCTTTGTATCACAGTCCAGACTCGCAGACTTTGTTTCAATACTGTTTTTTTCGTGATAGTGTACATAAATAATTGCAATATTGTCTGTCCTTTCAGAAAATCATGAAGATTTCTATACTCAGAATGCTAACCTAATATCTGTGGAGTTGCCAGTTGTGGTGGTGAACGGCAAGGAAGACGCACATGATGTGGAAGAAGATCTCACCAAGAGGGTCAGTCAGTTAACCACTAGTACTGTGGAGAGTGTAGAAATTACGATCAAAAGCTCTGAAAAGATAGAAGAGGCCCTGTCCCCTGAAGGGTCGCCTTCCAAATCCCCATCGAAGAAGAAGAAGAAATTTCGCACCCCATCTTTCCTGAAAAAGAGTAAAAAGAAGGAGAAAGTAGAAGCGTAAGTGCAGTTCTGTTGCAAGGAGAAATTGCACATTTTAGACGTTTCAGCTGACCATTAACAGCATAGTGTTAGGGGTGTGCAGTAACTGGACTTTTAACCTAAACAAAAAGGAACTGGAAGAGGTTTTGCTTTAAAAAAACCAAACCAACAAACAAAAAAACCCACAAACCCTTTCATGTGAGTTCAAAATTAATTCATCTCTCGCTTAACTGTGTCCAAAATTGCTATGAGGTTTGGAAACATTCATTAGTTTCGTGTAGAACTACACTGGCAGGTGCTTAATAACCATCATAGCAAGATCGAATACCGTCACAGTACGCAGCAGCAAGTTCTCCTTGGTGTATTTTGCAGACCTTAAAGTTTTCAGTACAGTTAAAGTCTTTAATAAAGTTACTGTTGAATGATCATTTGACTTTTTAAAACTGCTGTCTCATTTGGTAACCAGATCATACATTTTTGTATTGTGATTTTGACCATATATTTTATGTTTCTGTACCCCTGTTTGAGTGGGTGCACATTAACAGCACACCTTTAAATCTTTTTAAGATTAGATCATATAGAAATATTATACACTGGCACATAATATTAGGGGGAAAACTGTGTAAGAGAAAGTTTATTTGGAATTATACAAAAAGGTCTAAAGAATTCCATTTTTCAATAACTTTTTTGCCAAATATTTCATTTTAGTGAAATATAATTTTTGAAGACTTCTTTTTTATTCTATCAGTTGGGGGGGGACCCTTATTTTTCAAGAAAGGGGGTTTTATACACTTAACATTGATAATTTAGTTTAACTGGCAAAACAAAAAAGATTTTTATATGTTCAAGTGTTTGTATACCATTCAGTATAAAGGTATTATAAGCATGTAAACCAAGCATTAAATAGTAGAGTGTATTTAAGAGTGCTTGGTTTAGAGTATACTTAAATATTATTCAGGAATCCAGGGACTTAGAAATCAAATGATAAAAGCATATAAAATTGAACTGGATTCATGTTTAAAAATTACTTGTGGGTTTGTTGTTTTTTTTTTCTCTTGTGGTATTGCTAATCAATGAAGAAAAATAATCTCTTAACATAACCAAATGAAGGAAACAAAGCTGTTAAAAGGGAAAGTGAAATAGTAAGAAAACAGGAGGAGACAAAGAAAGTAAAAGATTGGTGATTATTTTTTTTAAATATATGATATGGATTGTGGGATATTTTTATTAAATCAGCAAAGCGACATTTCCATATTAGACGTTTTAAATAGTTTGTATGGATTCATACAGAGTGCAACACTTTGGTTTTTTCTTCACTTTGATTTGAATTGTAAAAGGGTCTCGTGAATCTGTGTTGTCCTTTGGATGAACCCAGAGCAAATCAGAGCCTAGTGCCATGGGTAAGTTTGCTACTTCCACTTACTCATTTTTACTGATATTGTCATTTTAGTACTTTTACTGTATTGTAAATAAAAACTAAGCATAGAAATTAACATAGGGTTTTCTTCGCTATGTCAAATTGTCTGTAAATCAGTCAACGCAATAGAAGTACATTTTAAAGATCCATGTGATTCCCAAATTGCCAGTTGAGATATTATACAATATATAATTGTTAAATATGGCTGGAGAGTGGTTTGGCATGCAAAAATGTTGATTATAGCATGTTCAGGGGCTGGTTAGCTTTGACCGTGTAAGTGTGATAATGCAGTGTTGAAATGGATCCTGGAAACAATTTTCTAGCTATCACTAAATACTGGAATCAGTGTTTTTAATCATAGTGGAAACTTTCAGTTGCTTACTTTGTTTTTTATGTTCTACATTATTTGTGTTGTATTACAACATATGTAGAAACAGTAACCTGTGAACTACGCTTTTCATAACTTTTTAAAAAATATATCTAAATGAATGCAATGTGCATAAATATTTTTTAAAATGCAACCATGAACTATTTGCACCTTTTGCTAATGCCTCTATTTACTTGCTTTGGCATAAAGAATGAGCCAGCCAACTCCTGTGTCCTGTGGAAAATATATAAATGTTATCTGAAATTGCTCATAGATGTAATGCTAATTAATGTTAAATCACAAATAAACAGTATTTTAAATAGATGGGTTTTGTATAGCAGCTTTTTGTTTATACAGTGCTCTTGCATCTCGCGCTGGTAGAGAAGATCCTTTGATTGTGTACGTTACTTCTCAGGAGTTTGTTCTGAAGATGGCTTCTTGCTTGTGCTTATTTGGAAAGCTGTGCAAGAAAATGGTCTGGTCTTATTAGAGAACAGTTGTTTTCTCTGTCACAGATCCTGGAGATGAAAGAGGACAGGCCCGTGGTAAAATACACGGTGTTGTCGTGCCATTGTGTTGAACCCCGGCTGAGTTTGTGCTGCAGGCTTTCCTCTCCTGGGGCACGCTTCCCCATCTTCCTGGTCTGTGTCTTCTGCTCTGCAGCATGGGTTTCGTATGCCGGCCGGAGACACACGACTCAAGCGACTTAAGTGCTGTGTAAGTACAGAGCAGGGAAATAGCTTGTGGAAATTACTATTTTTTCACTTTATTAATGAAAACAGAGTTGTTTTTGTAGGGAAGGCTTTTAATGCAAAGTTATTTGTTGACATCTGTATCGTGCCCTGCCAGCATGTGCTGTACCTCAGAGTCTCTGAGGCTGCAGAAGTTGCAGTGTTGTGTTTTTATAGCTGTCTCAACTCTGTGATATGTATTTAAGGACTTCCACAAGTGTTTATTTTCATTGTCCTTCCACAAATCAGCCTTTTCTTTCTGTTTACAAGAAAGTAAAAATCCAGCCCTTCAAGTCTGGTGACAGTTTCATGAACTTGGTTCTTATGTGGGAGGACAAGTTTGGTTCAGCATTTTTAAGAAGTCTTTACCAAGATTCAAGTAATTTTCGTGCTATCGCTTGTCTCCAGGAGCATCTGCAGTCTGCTTAGTGCTGCACTAACAAGACAGTGGGCACTATATCAGCATGGAGGAGATTACACTGTAAGACTAGGTGCATCTATAGTTTTCTTCTTTGAATTCTCTTTATTCCCAAGAGTGTGTGAACCACAGCAGACCCTTCATTTTCACTCGAGTTTTACTCTTTCACAGTGTTACAAGAAGGATCTGAGATTCTGCAAGCCAAAGTGTGGAAATGAAGTAGATGTTCATAGCAGGCAAAACATACGTTACAGCTGAAACCTTGGGAAGTAAGAGCTCTTGGAAAGATGAGCTTCCAAACAGATCGTTGACATGATAGGAAATAGTTATTACCATTAGGATGCTTAACCCAAGAAAGAGCAATTCAGGGAAGAAGCAGTGTATGCTACACCCTGAGAACCTCATAAAGGAAAACAAAGGATTTTTAAAGTTGTGCATCTTTCTGCCCCACTTTTCTCTATGTATGGCCATACTAAAATCAGTGTTGTGATCTGGGTGATCACTGCCAACTTCTTTCACAGACTCTCACCTGTCCCGGAGAGGAGTGTTATGTAGCAAACCAGATTTTGCTTGACTTGCAAAAATTGCAGAACGAGGTTTACTTTAGATCAGGCTTTGGACCCTGCAAGGAGACAGGATAATGTCATGGAGAAGGCTGTCATAGCCTGTTTTGACCAATATTTTCCTGCCTTGCCAGCTGAGTTATTGTACACTGTAGAGCACATAGCATAAATTGCTGTTTTCTCTGGTGCTCGGTAGTTGAGGATTTTCTATTTTCTGGAAGCCCAGTTTGAAAAACTGTTCAGTTTTCACTGTTTCAGCTGTGGAAGCTTCTCAGATACAATGGGCTGCCAAGTAGCCGAGGACAGGGAGAAAGGCCCATGGCATCCCCGACTGGGCACGTGGGCCTGATGGAAACTTCTGAGGTGAGCGCTGAGGTTCCTCCTCTCCCTGCTTGCAGGCTGGCAGGGGAGCACATCCCCTCACCCAGGGACTTGTTGCGTGGGTTGGCGTGTGCTCTGTCAGAGATCCGGTGTGTTAAATGAGGTGGAGGACTCATGGAAAAGCGCTGATTAGAAACCGCCTGGTGATGCGCGGGCGGCCGGAGCGCAGTCAGCCTGTGTGGGCACTGCCTTGTGCGTGGCTCTGACGGCACGAGCAGCCCAGCAGGGAAGGCTGGGAGGGTGCTCGGTGGAGGTGGGCGCTGCTGACATTTGGGCTGTGACAGAGCCTGTATAAACTCCTGGTTTTAGAGAGCTGCAGACTGGCTGAAGTTGCACAGGCTCTTGGAGACACAGTAGAAAGCACATCCCTGACACAAAGGTTGCTCAGCCCTTTGCCGCGACTTCTAATCTCAGTTGCAAAGCCAGCGGCAAGGTAGGTTTCTAAGAGAAAAGATTGCCAGAATGTAATGTGGGGAAACTTGTGCTTTTCTACAGCCCGGTTCTTGGGAAGTGTTTGGTGGGACTAGCTTTACATTTTATGCCTGCCGGCAGTACGTGCAAACGCACCCACAGAGTTTTCACTTGGACCAGCACGCGGCATGGGAAGTTTCAGTCAAGCCTGATCAACTTGTAAGCCGGCAAAACCAAGCCTGATGATGAGAACTGGAGGGCAAACCTGCTCACAGCGCATGCCTGCAGCCCAGCCTGGTGCTCCCCGTCTATTTAATCTGTCAAACACACTGCTACCTCAGCTGTGGTGGGAGCTGCAGAAGGCAATTATGCTAAGCCGGGGGAAGAAAATATTTCCTTGGATGCATTCTCAATGTCCCTTTACAACTGATTGCGCCGTTCTTCTTTCTGTGCCTGCAGGGAGCAAAGTAAATTCAAGAGTTCACGCTCTGAAACCGTGGTTGAGTCCTAAAGTCAAAGCCAGCCTTTGACCGGTGAAAATTCAGGCGGCCATCAGATGGCATCAGCCCTTCACGTCTGCTGCCTTCATTCCCTGCAGTCGGAAGGCCGTTAACAAAGAGCTTTCAAAGCAAGTATTTCGGTGGAGATTTTGTGGGCTTTATTCCAGGTCCAGCGCAGCGAGATGAAAGGAGACATCTGGCTGTCGGACTCATTTTCCTTACTGATTCGTTTCAAAATCCAGCAGTGGAGCGGGCTTTGTCCGGGAGGCAAGTCTGCTCCGCTCCCCTCGATCCTCTTGCGCTTCCTCAACTGGCTAAGGATTTTTTATTTTTCTTTTTTTTGCACTTGTAAACTCACTCCCCTGAGCAGAGGAATATCCTTATGTTCAGAGCCTTGCTGCTTTCCCCCCGGGTGGGCTGCAGGTGTGGGAATGGAGCACCAGAGTTCGTGGCAGCTGTGTCTCCTAGGAGGATCTGCAGTGAAGAAAGATATTTACAGGTATTAGAAAAACCTGCTGCTGTGGAAGTTCAGTTGTGCCAGTTTGGAGGGTTGTACTAAATTTTCATAACTCTTTTAGAGCGACTTTGCCACTGCCAACCTGTTTGTGTCTGCTTGCTCTCCAGCAGAAGAACTCTGCCGAAGGCACGCCTGGCAGCTTGGTCTTGGCCGCAGTCTGCACGCGGTTGGAGGCCGAGGGCAAGGTCTCGGGAAGCAGCGCTGTGTGCTCACCCTGCTCTGGCGCTCTGCTCCACGTGTGGAAAGTTCTTCTCCCTTGTGGGAAACAGAATGTTGGGCAAGTTGGACCTTCTTTGTGATTTGTTACCGTTATTTTTCTGTGTCAGTCAAACTTGGGAAGGGAGGGACGTAGCTTCTTGCGCTGTTAGCTGTTGTGCGTGGAAAATCGGGGAAAGGGGGAGAAAAGCAGGGGGGAATGGAGATGGATATGTTATATTTTATGCATATTATAGATTTATAATACAGACGTATTGTTGTATTACATACTATATTATATCTCTCATATATGGTGGTCAAAGGTGCTGAAGGCCCTTCCCAGGGCTCCCCATCTCTCCAGGTGGAGACCCAGTATCCACCAGTGCCGAAGGATCCTGCCCCTTTCTGTCTTGCCTGCTTCAGTGTCATCACTTCCAGGCGCCTTCCGTTTCGCCTTTGTGGCGGTAGCTTGGTGTGGCTGCGAGTCTCTGGGCGCTGCTGTAGCTTTTGCAAGTTTTTAATTTGCAAATGTTATTTGCAAAAACGAAACTTGTGCTCTGGGTTATCAGGAGGGCAAGTCGTTAAACTCTGTAAGGAGTAGATGCAGTGCTCTGGGGCGGCGGCGTTGTCCTGGGCATGGCTCTGAGCAGGAGCCTTCTGCTCCCCGGCAGATGCTGCGAGCTGCTGCTGGTTTTGGCGTTCAGCACGTCTGCTGCTGGCTGCTCAGTGACCTCCTCGTCGGGCCCGGTGCTCGTCCCTCTCTTCCCAAAGGTGTGGAAGGGTCAAACACTGCCAAAAACGAGGTGCTTGAATTAACGGCCTGACTTTTCTCAAAGGCCTGAGCGCGCTTGCCAATGCCGGGAGAGCCATGGAAGAGCAAGCTGCTTGTTCAGCCCTCGGCTTGGTGCAGCAAGAGCCAAACAACCCCTGGGCTGCCGGGAGGAAAAGCAGCCCCCAAACCCCGCAGCGTGGCGACCGGCTGTGGCACCTGAGGACCCCATAGGGATCGGGTCTCCCGGTGAGCCCTCTCCTGCTCCGCCGTGCCCCGGCGGGGATGGGGAAGGGGAGGTTGCTGCCAGTGGCTGGTTTGCCATCTCCGGGGTGCTGAGAGCAGCTGATTGACTATTGATGAAGGTGCCTTCGTATTAAGGGTCTGCAGGTGTTAACGGTGGTGCAGGGACCTGCTCCAGCATGTCTCGCAAGCTGGCGCTCGGCATCGTGGCCCTGAGGCTTGGGGACACATCAAGGCCACGCGGTGTGATAAAGCAGCTGGTGGGGCATCACCTCTGTCCTTTTCTGTCGTAAAAGCTGAATAACGGAGGTTCTACAAACTTCCAAAACTTCATTAAACTTGTATAATAAGCTCAGGCCTGAGCTGTGCCTGCCTGTCAAGGTAGCTTGCTTTTAAGATACTTTTCACAAAGAAATCTAGCTCTAACCTGAGGCGGTGGGATGGCGTTGCCATGTTCCTGGGCCATTGCCAGCATGTTGGAGTCCATCACCGAGCCCCTCCACGTACTGAAGCACCGTCTGCCTGCAGGCTCCTTGGGCGTGAAACCCCGCTCACTGGGACACCAACGTCCAAACATCAACCTTGAGTAAGGAGAAATT